TATTTTTTAACACCCGACTAAAAAAGAGGAGAGTTATACCTTTGTCTGTGTTTCTGTGTGTATGTCTTATTAAGGGGCATTATAAGGAGGGTATTATAAGGGGCAGGACGAACAAGTCGTCCGCCTGGTGGTAAACGGCATGCCTATCCATGACAAATGCAGTGCCACTAAGAGCTTTAATACACAAAGATCTGAGGGGCACTGCCAATACGCCTGCCACTCTGAGACGTAAGTTGGAAGTCCCAGGTAGGTAACCTGTAATTTCCCCAAAATCTGTGGCATCGTAGCTCCCAAATGGATGCACTGATCTTAAAGCGTTTTTTCTTTATTTGAAGGCTAAGTTAATCGGTATGGTTCTTAGCTACATTTGATGATCATCTGCTAAGCTGTTTCAGTTCTTTTCCCAGTTTTTTAGGATCTGAGTGTACGGACGCACACATTCGCATAATTTCACGGTGCACTTGCACAGTGTTGGTAGTGTTGTGGTGGTTGGTGGTGTGGTGGTCATTATAGAATAATTGAAGAAGTGTTTATTGTAGTGTTTATGGTTGCTTGAACAAGATTGTGTCAAATCCAGAACACTTCAGCATTTCATTTCTATTTCATAATCATAGTCCCATAATCGAGATACCAATCCACGATGCGGGAACAACAATATCAATACGTAAGTACTACATTTAACACAAGTTATTTCAAGATAGTACGAGATTACTGTGATGAACATCTTATTTATCTCAAGTTATTTTTGCAACTTGTAAATAAGTACAACTAAAATAATAATGTGACAACCCTATGCCCGTTGCAAAGTTTAGACATTTACGCGCCGAACAGGTGGGAGTTACCCTACTTGACTTGCTGGTAGGCATTGATTCCGTCATTTGTACCGTCAAAAGCACATGAATCTTGACCAAAGTGTCAAGTACTTTGGACCGTTTTTAGCGTAAGCGACATAGAGTTGGATTTAAGTCTTAAGTGTCAAGCTTCACGTGCTCTTGACCCTGTACATACTTGTATTGATTCCTAGAACTTCCTACGAACAGATTCCAATACCATCTGTAAACACATTATAAACACTCATGGTGCCAATAAAAGCGGAATAAGAAGATAAACGAACAAGAATAGCACCAACAACACCTTTAATTCCTTCCATTGTGAGAGACTGAAGAGATTATCGAGAGCTTATTTATTTCGTACAGTCTTCAACATATTTGCAATACTAGTACGAGTATTTCTTTAATACCTAACCGTATTTACTCACGTAACGGTTATATCCATACATATGTTTTAGTTGCAGTATAGTTCATTGTGAAAGACTGCATCTAAGGATAGTATTGCCACATTACCTATTTCTTTCGCCAATCAGTAATGTCACATTACTGTGTTCCTGTTTTGAACAGTAAGAGTGCTGGTGAAATTACAGGCACACGAGACATGTCAATTTACGTCTCAGGGTAAAGGGCGCAGTGGCTGTGATCCTCAGATCTTTGCGATTTAAAGCTCTGAGTGACACTGCAACTGTTGTGAATAGGCGTGTAGCTTACTTTTAATATTATAACTTAATATTATAAAAAAAGTGTTGAATTTAGGAGATGATGTTATTTCAGTATAGCACGAGAATCCTGTGATGAAGTAATATAATTGAAGACGTGTTTATTGTTCTATTTATGATTGTTTGAACAAGAGTGTGTCAAATTCAGAATAGTTCAGTATTTCATTTCTATTTCAGGTAACCTATCACAAACTCAATTTTTTTTCCGAAATAACGTTTGTTCGATTTTCTATTACGCCGAAAACCGAATTATAACGAAACCGTTCTTCTTTCAAGATATGCTGGATGTTTATCGTAAAGACACGATTAGGTTCGGTTTTAGGTTTTAAAGAAAAAACATTTTCCTCTCGAAATTACTTTCGAGGTTATGAAATTTCGACCAAACGTTATTTCTGGAAAATGTCATTTCGGACTACTGGATAGGTAACCCTATTTCATAATCATGCTCCCATAATCGAGATACCAATCCACGATGCGGAATGAAAGTTTTAATACATAATTACTACAATTTTAACATATATGTTATTTCCTGATACACGTACATAGCACGGGAATACTGCGATGAACACCTTATTTTTTCAAATTATATTTTCAACCTGTAGGTACAAAAAAAAATGTAACAGCCCTACGCTCCAAGCAAAGTGTAGGAGTTGCCCTACCTGTTGTTATTATACTATACCTAAACCCTCTCCTTAGAGGAGACCTGTGTCTAATAGTGGGACATAATGAACTTATGAAGATGTACACATACTATTACGCCCGTTTCCCAAGTGGTAGGCATGAACGGACGTACAGACCTCCACTTGATATGTTCATTCATAGTTCTGTTTCACTTCCTCAATTTGGTTGACGTTAGTACTAATAGATCGATACCTCCAATAAATACTACGCCAAGTTAATTTCTGGACCTGTTCTGTTTTTATTTCGTTTTTTGTTCTTTATTTTTTCTTTCACGGGATTTTTTTTCGGATTTTCTTTTTCGTTTCTTTATTTTTTTTCACAAAATTCGGGGAGCATAATATTAGTAAATAAATATGCCTGTTTACAAAAATAACAGAAAATGACCAAAAATAAAGTTGGCGTAGTTTTCATTGGAGGCATCGAGATGATATAATTATATGTGGCGAAATAAATAAGATGATGTTCCACGTGGACACTAAAGAATTTTGATTTTATGTTTATGGACGACGCGGGAACACCTGGCTACTAGGCGTACGAACGCTTAGCCTAAAATTGAGTACAATTCAACACTGTGATTGTACAGGTACCGTAGCCGATCCTTATAACGAGTTGCCGGAGTAGAAGCGGATAAAATTGTTTTGCTAGATCAAACGGCTTAGGTGTTTACCATTAAACAACGGTCTTACAAAAAATATACGATGCACTAAGGATATTGTTTATAGATATATACATAATCCTGAAAACAGAGTAAACTAAAAGTCTAAAACTAATTGTTGAGAATAAAATATCGAACTTTGTGCATAATTTTTATATGGAGATATTTCTCTTTTCAGTATTTACAAATTTGGTTAATAATCTTATTACACAAGGCTGCCCATTTACGGTGGTTATAAAATTTGCTACAAAGCAGACATCATAATGATCCTTTTAAAAAAGTGCTAGTAAAATTAATAGTTAGGAAGTCATGATCTATGTACTTTTCTACTCCAATTACCAAAACTAACGTGACTTTGAAAACTATTCCAAATAAGAATAAATCGAAGAAAATTTGGAATAGTAGCCAATTTTGTGTTTAATCTTAGATTACGCCATTGTTTTAGACTCGGATGATTTTATATTTGTTGTCGAATTTTTTTTTTAATTTGTATTAAAAAACATTTGATCACTGTAAATGGGCCAGCCTATATTATGTATTATACTTATTTGTGCCATATCCTCGAATATCGAATGTAGGTGACAAAGGATAGATCAATCACAAGGAAAGAAGTGCGCTGACGCACGATCAGTCTTGCGACGGCGTGAATTTCGATTAATTTCGCATGAAAGGAAAATATTCAGGGCTTTTCAAAAGATATTGATGAGATTATATTTTGTTGCCATTTTGTACCGCAATCTTGTATTTTGGGTAAAATATATTCTTCTATTTAAAATCGTACTAGACTTCTTTCAAAGTATGTACTTACAATTTAGCAGTTGGCCGCTGTCTCGCAAAATCAACCACGGACAAGGAGAATACAACTAGGAACGCGCTTTTGGTTTGCCCTAACAACCAACACAATGGTTAAATTCTGTCGAAAAGTCCTAACAGTATCTAAAAAAGAAACTTGCCTGTAAAGAACGTTGATAACTCACGTACATTATAATTAAATTAATTTATAATATGCATCATGTGTTATTTATTATCCTTAAACATTTTTTCATATCGAGTTCTTAGGTTTTCGCGATTGTTACACATAGGAAATGAAACTATTTTTCCGGATTTAAATCGCGTGTATTTGCTTTTTCAAACAAACCGACGTTTCGGGCCCTTTGCAGGTCCCATGGCCACGGTTGATTTTTTCATATGACTTGTCTGTAGAACGGCAATTTCATTCTTAGTATTATAGATTTACGTGTCAAGTACATGTACACGTACAAATAGGTACCGCAGTAGGCACTCAAGTGGTCAAGTGGACGTGCAAGCAGTCTAGGATTTCTCGCCTCAATTGAGCTAAATACTACTGAAAGGTGATTCTCCAACCATTTTCATTATTCCAAAGCAAAGCAACGAAAAAAAACTTTAGTTGAACGCAGGCCAGTGCCATCTATACAACTTGTTATAGACTACTTTGTTTTTCGTCTCCACAGCCTGTGCGTTACAGAAGTCAATGGTTACAGGTTAATTATTCTGATAGTGGAACGAAAACTAACGCCATCTAGTACGCATATTAAGAAGTAGTATATTGTTTTTAATTTGTTCATTCACACTTGCTCTGCGGTATTCGAAAATCTCTTAAACCTATCTCAAGTTGTTAAATAGGGACTTGAGTACATACTTGACGCAAATAAAATATTCTCGTCTTGAATATTATAGAATAGTCGACTAACCGTATAAATCGATATTAGCGATAGTTACCGCTACAATAAATATTATTATAAAGAGCATTAAATATAGTTACAATGAAATATCATACTTTTCTAATTTTTCAAACACCTGCACTATAACTAGGTATCTATATATTTACCGAATAAATAAAATCGACATTTTGTAATATTTGCGTCCAAAAGTGCCCATCACTAATTTAAAACCGAAGTCCTCTTGTCAAGTCGAGTGAGGTTTAGAAAAAGTCAATTTTTAGGCTATATTCCTGAATGTTGCAATAGCAATCATCATTTATTGCTATGGAAAACGTGACTTATCTATTTATATAACTTGTTGATAAGAGTGTGTGTGTGTCGTAGCGTGGTGCTCGTCATAATAACGTAAGTAGCGACCTTGTAATATAACCCTGTACGGGTTCGTGCAGTTAGAGCCTTTGCATCATGAAAAATGTCATTAGGAAGAATTTGCGTGACGCAGCGTCGTTGATAGTGCTAAGTAAGCGTGCGAGTGGTGCACCATTGGGTGGCGGGAGCTGCAACTATGACGTATTGTTGCAGACCCGCACACAAAGTGCGTCCTTTAAAAAAGCCGTCGTGTTCCCGGGAGGCGTGTACGAGAGCGCGGACGCGAGCTCCGAGTGGCTGCAGCTGCTGAAGTCGTTCGGCTACTCGCAGTTAGACTTCGAGGCATTGCACAGCGCCGGTGCGCCTGTCACACCGCTCTTTCAAAACAATCCAGTGCAGAGGTAGGTTTATTTAAGTTTTAACTTGTATTCTCAACTTTGAAAAATAAATATTTAAAAGATGTTTTAGATAATAAACTTTTTTGTGTAACTAGCTGTTAAAAGCAGGAAAACTTTATACAAGCTGCTACAGAAGGACACATGGTACAAATGCATTATTTTTAAACATACAAAACATATGTAGTTGCTTGAGTGAGTGGTTATATATTATGCTTGTATTGCGTTGATACATTTGTGACTATCTATTTACAACACCTTGTTAATAAAACAAAAATACATAATTGATATATTCCCCACAGGCAAATAGCATTGCGGATAACAGCAATTAGAGAAACATTTGAAGAGTTGGGCCTCCTTATTTGCAGTCGTATTCCGAAGAAGGACAAGCAAGGTGTTGACACGTGTGTTATTTCTGACATAGATGTCAAGTATTGGCAAGATCAGGTAAACTTTTGTGCGACAAGTTCTTTTAAAATAAGGGCCCTTTAATCGCAGGTCCATCTGCAATCATTAGAGATACACGTTTTCCGTAATGAAGTTGATGCCAGTGTTTTTAAAAAAGCAATTTAAAAAATTTTCATTTTTTTTTTTTACCAAAATTGTAACAAACACACATACCAAATATATAATTATAATTGCCAGTAGTTGTAAATTTTTATCACAAAAGAATAAACAGTAATTGCTAATGATAATTGTTCAATGAATAACCATGAGTCTGAAAATTTATAAGAGCTCTTTTCCTGTTAATTTACTCAGTTAACCATCATTCATAAGACACAGCTAGCTTTTATAGATGTATTCAACATCTTGTAGCATATTGCAATATTTAACTGTCTATAGTGGCCCTAATCTGGAAGCTAGTCATCTTTTTTTCTAATCTTTTGCAATAATTTTTTTTTGTTTACATACATTATGTCAATACTCATAAAGGACAGTGTATTCAACCCTTTTCTACAACAATTAACTTAAAAAATATTACATTTCAGGTGAGCAAAGATCCATCAAAACTTCTCACTCTGTGTAAAGAAGTGCAGTGCTATCCTGCTATATGGTCTCTATATTATTGGAATAATTGGATGAGTCCTGCTTATATGAAGACACGCTTTGATACTGCATTTTTTGTCACTATTCTTAATACCAGACCTACGGTAAAGGAGAATTCAGAAGTTGCTAAAGTTGAGGTGAGTAATAGCATAGTAAACATATTACACATAACAAAACTGGACTGGTGTGCAAATTTTACGTGAAATATCATGACAACTTCTTAAACACGAAGACCCATTAGTTTATATCTACCAAAAAAAAAAAACAAAGCACTAACAGTAATTATGTAAAGTACAAGAAAATGGTCCTACAATTTTGTGAAAGCAATATTATTCAATAGCTTTGATATTTTTAAAAATAGACTTCTTTAGGCAAAAACCAAACAGTGAAAGCATGTGACATATAATCAAACATTGTATTGTAATCGCCACCTTTTTTTTATCTACCCCAGATTGGGGGACCATTTTACCAGTATCAAGTATATTGTTATTTGCTGATACCCAATTATATCAGAGATGAACAATATGGTGTTGCCACAGCTATGGCTTTCACACTGATTTCATAATAACAACTAGTAGATTGCACATAGCAACAACAAACAAGAGAATTACTGTCTTCCTGTCAAGAGACTCTAACATCTCCAACATCAGCCCTTAATTATTTATACATTGCTATTATTGGACAAAAGAAGTTGCATATCTAAAACATTTTATTTCGCAGTAAACTTTTAACAACTTTTTCAGTAAAGGATGTCAAAAAATGTTTCAGAAGACTTAAACGTAAAAAAGAAAGTGACCGTTATTGTTTGGCACCTAAGGGCGCCTTCGAATTAGACTTATAGAAGCACTGCAATGGCGCATCTGTGGCGCCGCAGCCAAGCCACTATTGATTTTCGTACGATATCTGGAAGCGTAGTCGCATCGCCACTGTCGTGACACACTGAATGTCGTGTTTAGTAGCAGTAGAGCTCCTTGTCAAAGAGTTTGTCCAGTGTAGTACTGCCACCTTACCTGTTTCTGCAGCATTACTGTGTTCCGGTTTTGAAGGGTAAGGGTGCTGGTGAAATGACAGGCACGTGGGACTTGTCAACTTATGTCTCAGGGTGACGGGCGCAGTGGTAATGCCCCTCAGATCTTTGCAATTTAAACCTCTGGGTGGCACTGTAACTGTTATGGACAGGCATGTAGTTTACCATCAGGCACTCGACTTGTTCGTCCACTTGATGTTACAAAAAAAAACGAGTTTTGCAGTAACAATTAGTGAAGAAAGACGTAACGGGCGCCAGCCGCTTCTATAAGCATCTAATTTGAAGGCGCTCGAAAACAAAAACATCCACGGAAATCATTGTATGTTCATTTTACAGTGCAATTTCGCGAAATTTGTTCTGCTTTTAAGAGGGATTTACGGAATTCAATGAAGATTATTATGCATCTGTATCTTTATACTCTGACCCATATAGATTGAATTGTGGAGTTAGGCAGGGTGGACTGACCTCGCCACTTCTGTTTAATCTGTACGTTAATGACCTGGTGGAGGAGCTCAGCAGAGCCGCTGTCGGATGTCATGTATCCGGCGTTTGCGCGAATAACGTGAGCAGACAACATGGCTCTGCTGTGCCCCTCTATCACTGGATTGCAGATACTAGTTCTATCTATGAACGATATGCTGCATTGCATGGACTCAACTACAATGTTAAAAAGACTGTACTAATGGTGTTTAAGCATGGCAGAGCACTGGACAACATACTGCCTGTCACATTGAAAGGCCCCATACTACATAATGTATCGAGTTTTAAATACCTAGGGCTTACAATTACCGCAAAATTTAAAGACGATGATGATCTAGAGCGACAGAGGCGGACTATAGCCATGAAGTAACATGTTGACGCGACGATTTGCTTATTGCTCAGTTCAAGTAAATATAAGTCTATTCAGGACTTATTGTCAGGCATTCTACACTACCTGCTCAGTTGTGGTATTATTATACTAAGCGACCTTTTGATATATTCAGAGTTCAGTACAACAATGCATTTCATGCTATGCTGCTGCGGCTTCCCTCGCGGTGTGTAGTGCGTCTGGCATGTTTGCCGTGAATAGGGTAGATGATTTTTTCGCCATAATACTAAAGAGACATTGGTCTTTTCTTACGAGAGTGAGCGATTCGGCCAATATTATTGTAAGGATAGTATGCGATACATGCTACTTTGTAAACGAATACTCCATTTTTAAAATATAAATAAACTGTAAAATTCAATTTCATTTGATTTTTAATTACTTACTTCATTAATAATATTAATTTTCCTTTAATAAAATTCAATTTAATTGTTATGTAATGTAATATGTAATGTTAAATTTGTGAATGGGGGTATACCTAAATAAAGAAACATTTTATTTTTAATTTTTCCTAAATAAAGAAACTTTTTATTTATGGACAATTTTGTCTATTTTCAGTGGCTTAGTCCAACAGAGATATTAGACCAGAGTTGGCAGCCAGACATTCTGCTGTACCCACCCCAGAACTATGAACTAAATAGGCTGGTACACTGGTCTGATCTGAAAGAAATTGAAGCTTTTGCCAGACAACGAAGCAGCTCAGGGCATTTATTGTACCACGCTTCTGTGCACGCCACAGATGGCACTATTTTTGTCTTACCTGGTAAGTGCATAATCTCTTTACCACCCCATTATTGCTGAAGTCCAATTCACACTTAGACTGCGTGTAGCTAACGCGATGTTATAACAATTTTTTTACTTTGTTACAGGTGATAGCCTTTACCCGAAAAGTGTAGATTATAACAATCATACTGTTATCAAAAGTAACAGAACAGTAGTGGAACTCAGAGAAACAAGCAAGACAGCACACCGCTTTGAATTCCACTACAATTCTGAAAATTATATAGTATATAAGAACTTCAAACCTGACAACGTAGATATGGGTGACAAAGTAATCAAAGTGCGGGTGACTCTTAGCTCCTAAATATGCTCCATTAATGCCTTAGCCTTCGGCCTTATTAGATACAAATCAATATCAAAGTTAGTTAAACAGATCAATAAAAAATGGCTAGTGGAGGACACACGTGGCCCAACAGCCAGGACGACTATGAACTGCTGGAAGTGATCGGCGTGGGCGCCACGGCCGTAGTTCACGCTGCGTATTGCCAGCCGCGTGGCGAGAAGTGTGCCATCAAACGCATTAATCTCGAGAAGTGGAATACCTCCATGGACGAGCTCCTCAAGGAAATCCAGGCCATGTCTAGTTGCAACCATGAGAATGTGGTCACCTACTACACAAGCTTCGTAGTCAAAGAGGAGCTGTGGCTTGTACTGAGACTGCTCGAGGGCGGCAGTCTGCTAGACATCATCAAACACAAGATGAGAATATCCAACTGTAAACACGGGGTATTTGACGAAGCCACTATCGCGACCGTTCTTAAGGAGGTACTAAAAGGCCTCGAGTACTTCCACCAGAATGGGCAAATTCACAGGGACATCAAAGCGGGAAACATCCTTCTCGGCGACGACGGGACTGTGCAGATCGCCGACTTCGGCGTATCAGCGTGGCTAGCCACCGGACGAGATTTGTCTCGGCAGAAAGTGCGCCACACTTTCGTCGGCACGCCCTGTTGGATGGCGCCAGAGGTGATGGAACAGAATCACGGTTACGACTTCAAAGCCGACATATGGTCGTTCGGCATCACCGCAATAGAAATGGCCACCGGCACCGCGCCCTATCACAAGTATCCGCCGATGAAGGTGCTCATGCTCACGCTACAGAACGATCCGCCAACGCTCGACACAGGCGCCGAGGAGAAAGATCAGTACAAGGTATACGGCAAGACGTTCAGGAAGATGATATCGGAGTGCCTCCAGAAGGATCCGGCGAAGAGGCCGACCGCCACGGAGCTGCTGAAGCATTCTTTCTTCAAGAAGGCCAAAGACAGGAAGTACCTAGTGCAGACGCTGGTGGCGATCGGGCCGAGCATGGAAACGCGCGTGCACAAAGCTAGCAAGCGGCAGCCCGGCGCCTCGGGCCGTCTGCACCGCATGGAGACGGGTGAGTGGGTGTGGGAGAGCGAGGACGAGGACAACGACGACGACGACGCCGAGCGCCGCGACCGGCCTATGAATCAGCTGGCGCGCGCCGCGTCCTCCGACAGCGACAGCGAGGACGAGCCCGAGGCCGCGGCGGGCGCCGGCGCCGCCTTCACCATCGGCTCGCTGGGCTCGGGCAGCGAGCCGCCGCAGATCAACCTGGTGCTGCGCATGCGCAACGCGCGCAAGGAGCTCAACGACATCCGCTTCGAGTTCGCGCCCGGCAAGGACTCGGCCGACGGCATCGCCACCGAGCTGGTGGGCGCGGGGCTGGTGGAGAAGCGCGACGCGGCGGCCATCGCGGCGCAGCTGCAGCGGCTGGTGGACGCCACGCTGTTCCCTGCAGGGCCCGCGCCCGCGCCGCGCGCCGCCACCTTCCGCCTCGACTCGGCCGACCCCAGCGAGCCCGCCGACGAGCAGGGCCTCGTGGGCTTCGCACAGATCTCCATCATCGACTGACAGGGTTCCCCGCCCACCGGCATCGACGTCGCCGGGTTCCACTCGGAATAGGGCATCCGCGCCCGGGCCGTCCGCGCTTCGTGTCTCGCTAGGCCGAGAGGTTCGACGTGGCGGTCGATCGTTTCAACGTGTGCGTGCCTTTCCTGTAATCTAGTTAAGCACTGTACCGCGTTATAATTAAGCTGTAATTTAAGTATCTTCAATAATTATTATTTTATGGGTGGATATGGACTAGTTATATTGTTTATAGCTCAAATGTATGTATAATTTTACATGATGACCGTAAGGGTGAATCTGAATTTATTTGTGATTATTGTTTTATTTTGCTGCTTTGTATTTCAAACACTGTAATTTATTATGGTTTATTTTGTCGTATTACTTACAAAAATAATATAATAATGAAAACAAAAAATTTAAAAAGTGGCAACAATGGAATCACTCATAACAATTTTAGTAATTTTGTAAGTGCCATACTAGGAGATTAAATAACATCGTAAAGTTCCTGCAACATCGTCATAATCATAAAGAAATCCTAACATGAAGTTACTACAAAACGTGCTAGATATAAATGCTTTCCCCTTGCATAAAGGGCAAAGTTGAACGACCCCAAATACTGGAAATGAATCAGTGCCATTCGGTATTTAAATATTTTTCAGCAAAAATTTGAAGGGCCAACTTAAATCAATATTCTGAGACCTCCTTTCGCAGGGTGCATTTGCGACTTAATAGCGTTCCAGTATTTGGCCATAAGATTACAGTGTTATAGCAGTCGTAAGTAGCACTATAGAATGTTCTTTTACAATGTTAATTTTTTGTTGCTTATTTTGAAATATTTTTAATAATAAAAAAAACTGAAATCGATTTCGGCAGGATGTTTTATTAAAACCTCTATTATTTTTCAAATCTTAAAATAATTAGTAGTTAATTTTCTTAACTAATTGCTTATTAAAGATACACAAGGTTTTGTTTTTGCAGGAGAAAGGCTATCTATTTAGTAGAGTGTCCTACATATACTTTTTACAATGCTGACATTCGACGACACTCCAGCTCTGAAAAGTTAAAAGACAAGATATTTTGGCCTTTCATTTGGCTCGATACAAATATTTTCCAAAACGTTGTAATTGTAACCACAATGACTGAAAAGCGATATTACAAAGATTTTATGTAAAATGTGACTGAAGGTTCGCAACCATAGATGATTGCGGAGATAATGAACATGCATACAAAAATATTCAATAAGTTCATTCCCAAATAAATTGCTAGGAATTTGAAAAAAATTGTAATTGCTTTTTTCGAGCAAAACAGTCTCTTCTTCGTTCATTTGAGAGCATTGCTTGTGATTGATTAGAATACCCTCCAATTTTCTCTATTGTAACGTCCTACAGGATCGTTGTACTATTATTATATACATACCACATGTCAATCAGCAGAAGAATGTATAAAAAAAATCGGACCACATTGTGGCTATTATTCGCACTCAATACAAACAGTTTTAACATTGTGATCTACACACAACGGTCCTAATTTTTACGTGAACCAATCCTTTTTTCAAATAATTTCATTAATAAAAAAATCGATGCTCTTCAAGAATAGTTGTCTTTTTTTAGTTAGTTTTTTTTTTTACTTAATACTGTACTTATTCGAAATGTGCCAAATTTTATTGCGAATAAACATACCGACCTTTGCATTAGTTAAAAAAAATACTTTACACCTTTGGACCGACGTATTATTAATTTTTACCAACCTCTAACTGTATTAGTCGTCGGTTGTACACACCAGATATGCCTCAGATTTTTTTGTCAACCATCTTCTTGGTGAATTAGGTGTTTTGATATTCCAATCCATGTGACGTAAATACATGTACGTCATCCAGTTATCTGACCACGATCTGACCAGATCTTTTTGTTACACCCTATATAGAAATCTTAAGTCACAACAAATCTTGTAATTTTTCAAAACTAGTACAGAAGTTTCGTTCCGTTTTACATTACAAATTTTATTATAAATACTAAATAGGTATTTTTATTAAGTACAACTTCAAATTCCGAGCAATTTATAAATGGATCTTACTTTCTTTTTATTGGTCCTCGTAAATGAAACATAATTACGTTGATACAAAAAAGAACGATACACACAATGTGACCCAACGTGAGTCTCATACAATTATGAACCTGCCGACCACGCGCTAGTTTACAAAGTTAATTTCACATAGGTGTACCAGAGTCTTGTGGCACTAAAGACAAAATCGAATGCTGTTAACTTGTCACATTTCATCAAAATGTGAATTGTGTCAACTGGCTCCCCTACAATAGCCCCCTAAAATTACTTAGCGGAAAACTCGAGACTGGCGAAATCGTAAGGTCTAGGTATCTATTTGTACGTTAAACAGCCCATTCAGTACCCGCATGGCAGTCCACCGTACAGGCAAGAGACTGCTGACACACTATCCTACGTATGACCCTGAGTGTCGCAGGGCGCATTGTCGGGTAGCTTGCACGCTGCGACTACATTCATAATCCTGCATTACGCAGTGGACGGCAGGCCAGACCTGTAATGCAGGATAGTGAATGCCCCCTTTTACACAATTGACCCTAAAGTTCATTATGCTATCAATATCGTTACAAAAATTCGCTTTCATTCCATTCCGACACAATATAAATTGAGCCTAACAGGACACCGCCAATAAGAAAATGGAAGAAAAAATAGTTCTGGAAAGAAACGATTTTATTGCAATAATGTCGAAAAAACGGTTTCGATTTCAAACAACATTGTATATACCTAATTCAAAAACGTTGTCAGTCGCTGAAACGCTAATCGCGCAAATCAAGAACAAAAAATGTTTATCGAAATAAATTTTCTCACTATATTAATGTTGCCCACTACACTTTTTTTCCTAAATTCCAACAGAATCTGGTACACTTATATGAAACAAACACACGGCGTTCACTCTGTTCTGACTTATCTATAAATTAAATATAAATAAATTATTAAATATGAATATTTAAAGACTTCAAATGTATTCATAATTTAAAAGTACATTAGAATTTCTAAAATGGTAGAGTTTTCATGTAAAAATATTTTATCGATACGAATTTACATTATTCTAATTATGTATAAGTCTCTTACTCTAACCTAGAGACCCTACAGTTTATGAATAATTTTAGCAGTAGGTAGTTATTGCTCTCATTTGCATTGGCGGTGTCGATTTACGATCGAATTTAATATAATATATTTATCATCTTATAGATAGATTTTTATGAACCAAATGCGCAGAAAATATTGTTTCTTGCGCATTTCGATGATAAAAATCTATGGAAGCGATCCATGAGCTCTTTCAGATTGTTTCTGCCTTAAAAAATGTAAGTGATAAATGTGAACAAATGTCAATTTACAAAGGCAACCCCAAGAGTTTTTTTTACTCATTATTCTTAGGGGAATGTGTAGTAGTAGTAGTAGTATTTAATAAATTTAACAATTTCTAGTGTAATTTGCTTACCTACTAACTTGTAATTCCTTTGTCAAAACAATAATACACAACTTTTTGCTGCTTTCGTAACTTAAAACTATCAACATCGCTGTATAAAACTATTTTTAAATAAATGACAGACTGAAAATACATATAAATATATACGTCTTAAACAAAATAATAATAGTTAAGTACGAAAATTATTTTTTTTATAAATGACGTTAAGTTGAAATTAAATTAATTTAAATTGGAATTTACAATGAGCTTTTCGGAAAAGGGAAACACCGTGATGAAACCTGCATGTCAACCCCTCACCTGAGAGGAGACCCATGCCCAGAAGTGGGACTTATAAATGGGTTGATGATGATAATAATAATGATAATATATGACGTTAGGTGTTATAAACAAAAAATAATTTTGGCGGTTTTTCTAAATTTACATGTTGCCCACTGCGTATACAGCCACTAATGTAACTAAGCAACGTAATTGCACAAGTACTATTAAGTACAAAGATTTTTTGGACTAGACAGAAAACAACCTGCTTGATATTACAGACCTTACAAAAACAAACGGTTTTTTTTTCTTGGTCTTACCCACTATACAAAAACATTTAATTTTTATCATTAAAACTACTTGCTTTAAACACTTAAACCTTTTTCAACTTCCAATACAAACCTGTATGAGCTTATTAATCAATTCGTAATACGCATTAGTAAGCAAGCCACATGTGTGATCATATAATATGAACTACACGGAACAAATGATGTATGTATATCGTCGGAGATAGTGCAAATACGCGTATGTAGCATTGGTAAAAGGCGTGTATCCGCAGTAAACCAACTTTTACAGGAGATGGATTTACTGCTATTACTTTGTTATTTCAATAGCTACGACTTTAATGTTTGCACAATAAGCATTAATTTATATTATCTACGGACTCATGACAATAGATTCCACGTAAATCATTCTAATTTGGTTGTCGCGGATTTGATCTGGGCACTAAATTACCGAAACGGAAACTCATAATCAAATGCTAGTTACGCTTAATTGCACTATCCCCGACGATATGTGGAATTTTATAACTTATGTGGCCCTACCAAGGGTGCGAATTTATGATTCAGAATTCGTAATACATAACCAATGGTCGGAAAAAGGTGTTCTACATGTGTCCACCATTACAAAAGTGGTGGTGTAAGTCCATGTTTTAAAACATTTTTTTTGCCTAAAAGTATCACATTTAATCATATCTTTCATTATAAAAGTGAAGCAACTCCAATAATTGCACAACATCCTATGGGATGGGATGGCATTACTAGTTTACTCAGAGAACTAAAATTCCTACGCATTATTGCTAAAAGCTCATTATATCAAAATTTAATTACTAGGACGTAATTCACTTTTACAATGAACGACACATATGTATATATAGATACATATATAAATATAGCTACAACTACGACATGGAGTTGTTAAAACCACCAAATATTAATTAATTTTTTTTTTCGAATTCTCTTAATATAATTAATTTTATTTTTTTTTCGAATTCCGATTTTTTCCGGAAACGGTTTTACTGCATCGTAGGATAAAACCACTTACCTAGGGAGTCGTTGGCATTATTAGAATTACTTTAAAATCCAACTTCGACTTCCTAGATCAATAGTTTTGACCTACGAAGCAGTAAAACCATTTCCGGAAATCAGGAATTCGAAAATCATTCATTAATATTTGGTGGTTTTAACAACTCTATGTAGCTATACATATATGTGGAACACCTTTTCCGATCATTGCACATAACAACACATTTATCTGAAACCTCATTTATTTGTTGGGGGTCATTTTCAGGTTAGTGTTCTCGACCTAATTTTGGTGACAATTTTTATATTTAAGTATTCTAGAATATTATCATTAAGTATTATTTAATATTCGAGTGTAGTATTCTGAAATCAAATATTTAAATAATAAAATTGCCACCGAAATTAGATAAGGAACACTAAAAAATAATTGATTTGTATAACAAATACAAAAAATTCTCAAAAGTGTTGATTCAATGATAGCACTGCCTGATAAAAGGTTTTTGGAATTAATAAAAAGTAACCCTATATTAACATTAACAAAAATAGTGCGAAAATATGGCCGCGATTTGTTCATTTTTGTTCAAACTTATGAAAATCTACCTATACAGTAGGAACCTGGCTTTGTATGACTATAGCTTGCAGAACGGTACATAATAAAGATTCTTAGATACTAAGTCTGCAATAAGAAAAA